GTATAAATTAAACATACAGTATGTTTTTCTTGCTTTCAGTTATCACCTAATATTTTTTCTGGGCCCTGTAGTATATATGAAAAAAATGCAGCATATGTACTGTAGAGAGCTAATAGTGTAGAATCAATATTAGTAAAGAAATAGTAGGAGTATACATACGTAGTGTGTGTGTGTGTGCATATATGTGTGTTAAAAATTAAGCATCAGTTGTGGTTAATAATAATGTGGTAGAGATTAACTGCAAGGCTCAAGGGGGATCATTGAGAACCTGAGGAATCAAAAAGACTTAATGAAAGAATGCCCTAAATAGAAGTATGGGAATAAAAATATAAATTTATGAATGGATTGCAAGGATGACAGTCTAGAGTTGAGGAGGAATAAGGGGACTTTTGTTAAACCAGGTGTGAGTATTGAGGCCTGGATTAGTGTGGTGGGAAAGAAGAAGGAGGGATTTGAAAAAATCGTCAAATTTGAAAAATTAGCCAGCTTTAATGACAATACCAGGTATGGATAGTGCAGGAGTGGAGATGACCGAGGCTTCACATACACAATTCCTGTGAAAAATAGGAACACTGATTTTTAAAGTGTTGGATCTCTGTCAGAGACCATGTGGTGCTATTATTTTTTTAAACTGGAGTAGATTAAAGGTGTTCTCCATTTCCTTTTCCCAAGGCTGTCTTAATTTTGAATTAGAAATGTCTTCTCTACTTTCAGAAGAATAGCTTTAAATTGGTATGGCATTATTAACACATGTAAAAATGTGATGAAAGTTTTTTGTATCTTCCTTTGGGCCATCCATCACAGGAAAAATTCAGCTACTTTTGTGAAGGTGACCTTAAACACACTGTATCAGTCAAGGTCCAGTGGCAGAGATCAGAAATCATTCTTGCTGTACTAGGCAGAAAAAGGTTTAATGTAGGGAGTTTAGGTGCCTACAGAATCAGTGGAAGTACTGGAAAAGCAGGCTTAAGCTAGGCCTCCAGGAATGAGTCCCAGAAATAGCTACTGAAAAAGCCTGTTAATAGTGAGGAAGTGGGGCACCTGGGTGGCTCAGTCGGTTAAGCGTCTGCCTTTGGTTCAGGTCGTGATCCTGGGGTCCTGGGATCAAGCCCCGCATCGGGCTCCCTGCTCAGCAGGGAGCTTGCTTCTCTCTCTCTCCCCCTGCCTCTCCAGCTTGTGCATGCACACACTTTCTCTCTCTTGTGCACTCACTCTCAAATAAATGAAATCTTAAAAAAAAAAAAAGAATAGTGAGGAAGCAGTAGAAATAGGAAACATGGTTCCTATCTATGCACCAGGATCACATCACTTGAGGCCAAAGTCTGAAAATTGGGAAGCTCCTTGCTACAACTGTTGTCTCCAGAACTCCAGAGCTATGCAGCAGCAGAATAGATCTGTGTGTGCCACATTCCTTTCCAGTTAGCTCCATTTCACATTCAGATTTCATGCGAGTGATTTTCAGGGAAATGTAGTCTTGCTTTCCAGTGTTTGCACTGCATTAAGGCACACCAGAAAGATGATGGAACAACTGAGAGAGCCAATCTACTATTGTAGATTATCAGTAGATTCGTTTTTTCAATGACTTTTAAGGATTAAGGTTAACTTTTGCTTATTTTTCATAAAGCTAACCTGACTACATAAGCAGAGGGGAAAACATGTAAAGAAATGAGTGGATTATTAATTCTTTAGTGTTGAAGTATATTAAAAGGAAAAATATAGAAAAATAGATCAGCTTATTGTTGCTTTTGGTTCCTTTTTTGTATTGTACAGGTATGTACTATACTACACCACCACAGTGTGTATCTCGCTTTGTCAGACCTCCACCATCTGCTCCTGAACCTGGTCCTCCCTACTTGGATCATTATCCACCCTATCTCCAAGATCGTGTAGTAAACTCTCAGTATGGCACACAGCCACAACAATACCCACCTATGTACCCACCACACTATGATGGCCGCCGAGTATACCCTGCTCAGTCTTACACAAGAGAGGAGATTTTCCGAGAAAGTCCTATACCCATTGAGATTCCACCTGCAGCAGTACCATCCTATGTACCAGAATCCAGAGAAAGATACCAACAGATGGAGGGTTACTATCCAGTGGCACCTCATCCAACTCAGATCAGACCTTCGTACATGAGAGTATGCTGGGGTTTTTTTTATTATTATATAGATTTAATTTGATTATTGGTTGCAGTGATTTACCTTTTTGCCATGGTAGTAACCCTTTGATCAATTCTTTTCTATGAGAAAGCTTCCCCCTTCCTTTTTTTTTCATCTTTTCACAGTTTGGGTAGGGTTGTTCTTTTTTGTTTCGGGTTTATTTTATTTTATTTTTTTTAACTATTAAAGGGAAAAAAAAATCCCACCCCACTCCCACTAACCCTTCTTAGTTTCTGAACTTTAGATAGTTTTATTAACATTTCTAGATCTACATTTGACCCTTGAGCAATGCAGGCATTAAGGGGCTCAATGCTTCCCATGCAATTGAAAACCCATGTATAACTTTTGACTCCCCAAAAACTTAGCTACGAATAGCCTATTGTTGACCAGAAGCCTAACATAAACAGTCAATTAATACATATTTTGTATGTTTATGTATTATATACTGTATTCTTACAATATGGTAAAGAAAAGAAACTGTTATTAAAATTGTTAGAGATAATATATTTACAGAACTGTTTTAATTGAAAAAAATCCATGTGTAAGTGGGCCTGTGCAGTTCAAGCTTGTATTGTTCAGGGGTCAACTGTATTTGAAATTATGGTCTCTGGCCAAGGAAAAGAAATTTAGCTCTTTGGGAAAACCTCAGAGTTTTAGGGAGCTTTGTTTTATTAAATCTTAGTATGTTCAAATACTGAGATGAATATACAAGCTGCTACCTATTTAAAATATGTGCTAAATGAGTTAATGTGTTCTGAAATTCTTTTTCAGTTTTTACTAATCTTTGCATTTCTAGGACCCTCCGTATAGCCGGCTTCCTCCTCCTCCTCAGCCCCATCCTAGTCTAGATGAGCTACATCGCAGACGAAAGGAAATAATGGCCCAGCTCGAGGAAAGGAAGGTTATCTCTCCACCTCCTTTTGCACCTTCACCAACATTGCCTCCTACCTTTCATCAAGAGGAAGTAAGCACATCATTTTTAGTCTCATTTATCAATTTTTCCTTCATCAGTTGTTTGTTGTGTGTCTTGTTTAAGTATTTTGACTATTTCTAAGATTATGAAGTTATTTTCCTGTGTTTTCTTCTAAAAGGTTTATTTTATTTTACATTTAGATCTACAGTCCATCTAGAATTGATTCTTGTTACTACGTTAGGAGTAAAGATCCATTTTTTCCCCCAAAAGATACCTCATTGACCTAGCACCATTTAGTGAAAAGACCATCTTTTCCCTAGTGCCCTGAAGTCACCGTAGTCATAATCAGGTCACCTTTGTCATAGTCAGGTGACTATGAATGTTTCTGGACTCTATTCTGTTTCATCGATCTATTTCTCTGTCTTTGCACCAACACCACATTGTCTTAGTGTAGTTTTATAATATGTCTTAGTATGTTCTGATGTATATTTTTCAGTATTACCTTTGCTGTTCTTAGTCTTTGCAATTTCCAGACATTTTAAAATTAACATGTTGATGTTCACAAAAATATCTGCTGCAGTTTTTATTGGGGTTATATTAAATTTCTGGATCTGTGATGTCCAGTATGGTAACCACTAGCCACGTATTGCTAATGAGTACTTAAAATAATGTGTCTAGTCCAAATTCATTTTACTGTAAGCTTTTTAAAATATACACTGGGTCTGAAGATTTAGCACACCCCAGGAGTACATTTCATTAATATATTTTCCTTTTTTATTAATAAATTTCTTAATTATATATTAAAATGATAATACTTAAGGGGCGCCCTGGATGGGTCAGTTGGTTAAATGTCCGATTC